TATATATATATATAGAACAGAGCTATTGCCATTGGGTCGTTTGCTATTAAATTGATAGTCTGGTATTTATGTGAGTTGCGTCAGAAGCATTTGTACCATGTCACACATAGACATCATGCCAAATATAGCTCTATGGCCGCGTCCACTGAGAGCTGGTTAAAGGGATAGTTCACCCAAAAATGAAAATGTGATGTTTATCTGCTTACCCCCGGGGCATCCAAGATGTAGGTGACTTTGTTTCTTCAGTAGAACACAAACGAAGATTTTTAACTCAAACTGTTGCAGTCTGTCAGTCTTATAATGGAAGTGGATGGGAATCACGGATTTGAGAGTAAAAAAAACATACACAAACAAATCCAAATTAAACCCTGCGGCCCGTGACGATACATTGATGTGTAAAGACACAAAATGATCGGTCTGTGCAAGAAACTGAACAGTATTTATATCGTTTTTTTACCTCTAATTCACGCAATGTCCGAACTGTTCGAACTGTTCTGAGCAGCGGCGCGTCCTCCTGAGCGCGTTCTCAACAGCAGACTTATAAGTGCTTTACCACCACCTATCTCTCAAATGGACCATTGACACTCCTAATTGAGATTGTAGATAGAGTGTCAATGGTCCATTTGAGAGATAGGTGGCGGTAATGCACTTATAAGTCTGTGATCCGCCGTAAAGTTTGAAGAAGAAGAAGACGCCTCACGCGCCTGTTGTTGAGAACGCGCTCAGGAGGACGCACCGCTGCTCAGAACAGTTCGGACATTGCGTGAATCAGAGGTAAAAAACTATATAAATACTGTTCAGTTTCTTGCACAGACAGATCGTTTTGTGTCTTTTCACATCAATGTATCATCACGAGCCGCAGGGTTTAATTTGGTGACATTTTTCACCTCAGTCCGGGAGAAAAGTTCCCTCACACCGTGCCAACAAGACGAGTCAAGTAATTGGAAACAATTTAATCAGGATGATCAAGTATCATGAGAGGAAACATACTGAAATACCACATGCCTGTCTTGTCTTTATTTAACATTTGGCTCTGAAATCTGCACTTCCATTTGGGTGGAGAGTGTGACCATAATATAATGATTAACAACCATCCAAACCGAATGCATACTAACAAACATAAATCAGTCATAAATAGCTCTGTTCTTGCAGTCAACACTCTCTCTGCTGTCTGAAACATCAGGCTCAAACATTCTGTGTTTGTACTTGATGATGTTGAAAATGAATGAGCACATGTGGGATTCTGGCCAGACTGAAGTTCACAGAGTAAAATGATCCCGGGCTGAAATGTGGGGCAGAAATGATGTGGGAGGACGAGCATAGAGACAAAGGTACTGAAGATATAGGCCTGTGCATTCACAAACACATATTATACTGTACGTCATATCACCGCTAGCACTTTGAGGACAAATTCATAGAGCACCTTTATTTTTTTAAATAATGATATCACTATTATTATTTGGATAAAAATTACTTTCTTTCTTTATTTATTATTTTAATAAGTCAGCTAAATGATTAAATGTAAATGTAAATTATCATTTAAAAATAATAATAATGGTGATGGGAGCACAGGTTACATATATAATAATAAAAACAAATTATTATTTTTAATAAAATTATTTATAAACATACACAATTGTATTAATAATAAAATGATCAATCTTCAGTATCTTAGATTAATTAGTAGGCCTATTAAATCAGTATTAATCAGTATTAAGTACATAATTTATTGCAGTTGTAGTCTGTTATTCATAGCATTGATTATGAAATTTAATGATCAGCAACCAATGTATGTAGTATGCATTCATTTCTGACCAAAATATTTTGTCAGTAGTCAATATTTATATATATATATATAGATGAAGTTTGCATTGATTTCTGACCACAAAAAAAAAAAAAAAAGAAAGAAAATTTGGTGTTTTCGTAAATATTTTGTAATTCCTCTACTGTAAATTGGCAGACTAATACAGTGGCAATGATCAGTATTTGTATTCGTTATCAGAATTATATAAATGAGCAGAACCTCCGTAGCATGTATTTATATATGATTTTTAATTTATGAATGTTATTTTGTGTTTACTATTAGATTGTGAGCTGTCTGTCGTGTAAATTACGTGTTTATTCCTTTACCTTCATTTAACCACGTCCATCGTTTCGGTAGTGTCGGTAATGTGTGTTGTTAAACACAAACTATGAGCGAGCTGGCTTGATTTGGTGGTATATTTCCACTCTTTAATTGCCCCTCAGAGCAGCGCCCTCCCTCGAGCCGCTGCCAGACGCAGAGCGTTAAATCAGTATTAATCAGTATTAAGTACATAATTTATTGCAGTTGTAGTCTGTTATTCATAGCATTGATTATGAAATTTAATGATCAGCAACCAATGTATGTAGTATGCATTCATTTCTGACCAAAATATTTTGTCAGTAGTCAATATTTATATATATATATATAGATGAAGTTTGCATTGATTTCTGACCACAAAAAAAAAAAAAAAAAGAAAGAAAATTTGTGTTTTCGTAAATATTTTGTAATTCCTCTACTGTAAATTGGCAGACTAATACAGTGGCAATGATCAGTATTTGTATTCGTTATCAGATATTAGCCTATATATAGCCTAGCGAGTGCGTGCGTGTGTGTGTGTGTGTGTGTGTGTGTGTGTGTGTTCTGACAACGATTACATTTATAATCTGAGCGATAAACATATATATTGCCTATCAGTGTTGGGGGTAACGCATTACAAGTAACGTGAGTTACGTAATCAGATTACTTTTTTCAAGTAACTAGTAAAGTAACGCATTACTTTTTAATTTACAAGAGAATATCTGAGTTACTTTTTCAAATAAGTAACGCAAGTTACTTTTTTCCAATTTATTGATTGACAGCTCTCCTGTCCCCATGTTGAGAGAAATCAGAAGATATTACTGTAGTTCTAAAATAAATATGAATATACATTAATTCATCTCACTCACAAAAAAAAAAAAACACACAGATTCAGTATTCCTCAAAATGAATAAAAATAATGCAACTCAGAATATGACGCAAACCTGCAATAATTAAATGTTAAAAAACACAAATATCCTTTATGTATTTAATCCCATTCTATTAACCAATGTCTTTGCTTCTGACCTTCGATGATCCAGTTCAACCATACTAATAAGCAAAAATTACTCTAGAAAAACATTTGTGTGTCTTTTTTTTTATTGCTGAAGTGTGTTGAAATTTCTTCTTCTGCATTCTACTGTACGGACGTAAATTTACTTTCCCTTCAGACTGAGGCTTATTCATTTCACTTTTGGTGTGAAAAGGCTTTTATATTTGCCAAAAATAGAACTTTTTTATTTTAAAAACAAACAAGCAAGCCCTGTCCAGATTTAAAAAGTAACGCAAAAGTAACGTAACGCATTACTGTCCATAAAAAGTAACTAAGTAACATAATTAGTTATGTCTGTCGTGTAAATTACGTGTTTATTCCTTTACCTTCATTTAACCACGTCCATCGTTTCGGTAGTGTCGGTAATGTGTGTTGTTAAACACAAACTATGAGCGAGCTGGCTTGATTTGGTGGTATATTTCCACTCTTTAATTGCCCCTCAGAGCAGCGCCGTCCCTCGAGCCGCTGACAGACGCAGAGCGACAGCTGCGACGCTGGAACAGCGCCAATATGCAAATTAGAAAGACTCCTCAAACGCTGATTGGTTCCCCGAGAGCGACCTTATTGGCAAGCGACCCACGTCGACGTGACGCAAAGCCGAGCCGCCTATATAATGAAGGCGAAAGCCTAGTCCATCAATGAAATAGTAAAGAGAGGGAGATTCTGGGAGAGAGAGAGACTAAAAGCATTCCCGACTGTATCGGCAATTCAAGGAAGAGATTCCTTTGCTAGGAAGACCAATATAAAAAAGGATTAGAATGAAGCTTATTATTGGAATAGGAGGGTGAGTAATCTTCGAGATCGACATATTGAACTTCTATATCATTGTTTAATAAATGTGTGATGTGTATTTTACAGTGTGACCAATGGAGGCAAGACAACTTTGACGGGAAGACTCATAAAGAACTTACCAAACTGTTGTGTTGTACATCAAGATGATTTTTTCAAGGTATGGAGAGAATCCACATTTTTTATTTTAAACTTGTCAGCTTATTTTACTACTTCATTTATATAAAGATATACTCTGTGGCCCAGAAGATGTATTTGGACATTTACACCAAACTTCGGAATGTATGAATCTCATTGCATTGTAGATAACAAAAGCATCTAATGCAATTAATTTAATGCATTTTAAGTTTGATTTAAGTGTCTGAATACTTTAAATAGAATGAACGCCACAGCATTTCCAAGGGACAAAAAAGGTAAAGACGTTTAGTCATTTGTTGTATTTATGGATCCATATTGTGGTTCATGAACCCTATGCTGGTGTTCTCCTGGACAGCCAACCTCAAAAACCCAACAAATGAATGCCTTTCGAGGTGCCTAAATACAGTACAGTCTAGCAGGCATTCATTTGCACTCCTAATTCCACTAATACGATTCTCTTGCTCATGCATTTATCATTCTGTGGCATGTAAGAGGATCTGGCAACCTTCATAGCAACAGTTGCTCCCCGAGAGCTCATATCGATATATTTAATAACACCTCTTAAGTGCATCACACACACATTCCTAACTGTCATTGGAGGCTCTTCTCTCAAAATGTTGCATTGGTGACATGCTGCAGATAATTCAGTCCAACGAATGCATAACTGCACATTTGGTGCATTGCAACCAAATTAATCTCATGCACACGATTGAAATTGAAGATGATTTTAGAGGACTAGCCTGAGGGCTTGGTGTCACATGTCCAGGTGGGACCAGCACTGCCTGAGCGATCCACACCTTTTTGTTTTATTGGTCACTGTTATTGCAGCCCCAAGATCAAATAGAGCTCGGGGAGGACGGCTTTAAACAATGGGATGGTAAGAACGGCTTTCGCTGTGGGATGAGAAACAGTAACGTATTCCCACCTTTCCATAACCCTTCTGATGTTTGCATCATTGTAACATAAACCTAAAACCCAGCAAAACTATTTTTCTTGCATTGCACGTCAAAAGTCTGGACACACTTAAGGATGGAATGCATTTTGGAGGAGATAGTGAAAAAAATCATTATTATACGTGTTCCTCCTTCATTAGTGTTTAAAAGCATCTCAAGATGAACTCATGAAGTTAACTGATGAACAGTGAGAAGAGCTGCTAAGACTTTATCATTCTCACATTTCCATTCATGTTCTATAATAGCTGTAATAAAAAATCAATGTGTCCAAACTTTAGACTGGTAGTGTAAATTTGACTCGCAGTCCTATTATATTAATTATTAACATCCCTAAAAAGGAGAAGTCTTTAATGCATTCTTTTATTTTTCATTATCCAAGCATGTGAGACACGTCTTGTCTTTTTCGTCTGCTTGTGTAGTGATTACCGCCTTGGACATGGACGCCATGGTGAACACGGTTAAGGGATGGATGGAGAACCCGGTGAAGTTTGCACGCTCCCACGGCGTGACCGTTTCACCCGAATCTGACGGCTCGGACCCTGAGCGCGAGATCCACATACTCATTATAGAGGGATTTCTTCTTTATAACTACAAGTAGGCATCTTTTTAAGTTGCATTGGTTTTATTCAGCTTAAAGATTTGAATGGTTGATGGTTTCTTCTTGTTTCCGCCTCCAGGCCTTTGCTTGACGTCTACAACAAGTGCTACTATGTCAGCATTCCATACGAGGAGTGCAAAAGGAGAAGAAGGTGAGAACAGTTTTTAAAGATCATGTTTTTAGATGATTCTGTTTTCTAACAAACCCGTCTCCTCCATTTCAGTACGAGAACGTACACCGTTCCTGACCCTCCTGGTCTGTTTGACGGCCACGTTTGGCCCATGTACTTGAAACACAGGCTGGAGATGGAAAACTGCGGCCTAGATATCCGTAAGTCAACCAATCTAGCGATTGAAATGGCATTTGCAACCCATTTCACTTCTGTAATGTGTAACTCGCATGCACTATTCGTATCTGCAGAATATCTGGATGGAATGAGAACAAAAGACGAGCTCTATAATCAAGTTTATGAAGACATTCAGAACTCACTGTTGAACGTCTTCTAGGTAAGATCTTCCATCCTTTAATATATAAATGATCTATATCATTGTAAAGAGGTTTTTCTAATCTATTTTTCCTTATTGCCTTTGCAGCATCTCCAGTTGGAATGAAGATGTGTGTATAGAACTGTAAATAGCATCATAAGCAGATATGGCTTGTGCCACTAGACGGATTTTGTAAATAAATGCTAACTTATTTTAAAACTGATGGCAAAAGCCTGTAATTTTATATTGCTCTATGTAACTTTGTTTTATTAGTCTCTGGGATGCACAGAGATGAACAGTGTATGTCGGTATGAATTTGTTTTCATTTTACTGTAACTGAAGCTCTATCATCTTCAATCAAAACTTGTCAAAGAATCAAAAATTCTGTGTTGTGTTTTCATTTTCAACATGCATGGAAACATCGACATTTTTATGATTACAATGTCTGGACGGTGATGGAGGAATGTAATGGGCAAGCATAAAACACTTCAAATTATTTAATAAAAAATGTTGAAATAAAAATACAGTAAATATACATTTCATGCTATGATTTTACATAAAATTATCATTACACCCTATTTATGCTCATATGTTGTATTTTTATTTATTGATTGCAATATTTTAATGACATATCATTACGGGTTTATAATTTCGTCCAATACAGGTGCATCTCAATAAATTAGAATGTCGTGGAAAAGTTCATTTATTTCAGTATTTCCACGACATTCTAATTTATTAAGATGCACCTGTATATTCCCTTTCAGGGCATATTTCATGTGATATTTTGTGTAATTTATAATTTCAGTTTGTTTATTCATGATCATATGTCACTAAATATTTATTGATTGCAATTTCATTATTTAATTACGTCATTATATATTTATTTAATATATTTATATTTGGCTCCATTATGTCCCTCCATTTACTATATCAAAAACACCTTAGGATCTGGTTTTACATTCATTCAAACATTTATTCAAAGTTATTGCCACATAACAGGAAAACAAACACATCAGGCGCTCAGACACAAGGTCAGTGTGTTGGTATTTATAGCATGTATGAAATGTCAATAGGCTAGTAAATTTGATTGAAGTACATTAAGTGCACACAAACAATCAGAACATTCCCTTCCTTATTTTCTCCTCTGAACATCAAGTACTTTAGACTGGATCATGATGTATGTGCATGCATTTGTGTCTATGGTACAGTGAAGTATTTTTTCGTGCCATGATATTAAGTAATCTCAACAAACAAAGCACTTTAATCATGTTTGATGATATTAAATAGAGGAATGAAGCGAGCATCAGTTGTGATCGTGTTGTGTAACAGTAGGCCTCTACATGGCGTCTGTTCATACAGACTGGAATCTAATAGCAGGTGCGAGTGACAAACATAATCGCTGTGAGACATTTGATGTCTGCAAGGTAATCTCAGTTTTGTCTCATTTTAGTAGCAACACTTGCAGGCGTCGAGTGGAATCAGAATTATGACAAATGATAAAGTGAAGTCGTGTAATCGCAAGTGAAAAACTCGAGGATGAATGGGCATGTCGATGTGAAACAACTTAAGTCTAGTCAACTTAACTTAATGGTAATGAATGATTTGAAAAGTATTTTAATTTTCCGTGCTTTATTTCAGCAATATTAATGTGCTATATATGAAAGAGCTTAAAACATCATGAAATTATTAATCTTTCCCAGTTTGCTTTCACCAATTGCCCATGTTTTCTGTCTTTTAAACATCAACTTCATCTCAGACAGGCCTATTTCTCCTTTGCTGCGAAAAAAATATTTATTGTTTTCCAGTACAAATAGCTACATGATTAAATATAGATACACGTACTTGAGATGCAAAATGAACTAAGATATTAAATTATCTGGCAAATTTTTTAACTATATACGCTAAATAGACTACATATTGTTATAATAAAATGTATTTTTAAAACTGGAAATTTTCAACCTTCAAATAATATATAATGATTTAATAATGTTTAATTTTTTTTATATATATTGTATTGCATTTTTTTTCTTCAGAAAACAGTATAGTATGTTCTTTGCTGATTTCTGTTCATGTTTTGCTTACATAAACAGCAAACGAAGTTTTTCTTCTAATGTGAATATATTTTTAAATGCTTATATATTTATATTATTAGGAAATATTTTTTAAAAATATTTTAGCAAATATTTTTTTAGCCATTTTTTGTATATTATGAAATATTTTTAGAAATATATCCTTTTGGTGTATGGGATTAAACAAGATTATTTTTCTTACCCTATTGGCAAATACTTTTTCTTGTTTTAAGCAAAAACCCACTTAATTTTGATACATTTTTCAGAAAGCAAGACTTAGTATCTTACATCATTCTGCTTCTCAAATAAATGCAAATTTTGATTTAGGAATGTTTAGATATTTGTAAGACAAAAATACTGTGTTAGAAAATGTATTATAAAAATTCATTTGTAGAAATGGACAGAAATGAGACAACAGTTGTCATGCAGTAAGAGTATTAATGTGGAGATCTCTTTTGAATGCAAATGTGTTGTCTTAGCAAATCTGAGCACATTTTTGAGATCTTTTCTGAACCAAGAGTCTCTGTTTGCTCTGCATTCGATCCCATTGCAGTCCTGCAGGTTGTCATACAGATTGTAAAGCATGTCTATGACTGTACTGGATTGGAGGGTATCTGATGATGCATTGTCAGGAGGTCTGGAGCACGGTTATGTGTGTGAGCCGTTATATTTAGGAGACATGCCTTCAGTGTCAGGAGAGAAGGGCCGCTGTGAGACGTAAATAGATGTGCACGCTCTGATCTCTAACCGGTTCGACCCCGTGTCACACTGTCACACATCGGCCAAGTGCCTGGACCACGAGGTCTGGCTGGGGGAAAGGTGAGAACGGCTCCAACGTCATGGTTTGTCACGAAGGCCTCAAAAGATGCGGCTCAGGTTTTTGTCTATTTTAGTTGAAATGCGAGGTGACATTCATATGCTTTTCACTCGCAGTTTTAGAGACTTTTAAGCGAGACTCGAGTGTCGCTGAATCATGAAACTGCTCAGGGAGTGATGTGTGTGTGTGAGGGGCTGAATTTGTTGTCACACACCCTCATATCTGAGATTGCTGAAGAGCGGCAGCTGCCGTCCCATCAGCAGCTGTAAATGTGTGAGGAACATTTCACTCATATGCCAGATGACAGAGGCATTTTTGTGTTCGTTCAGAGGATTATTAATAGAACCTGACACTTTCGAACAATTACATTTCAAGCATATTCTATTAGAATTATTATTTGCATTTTTGTTTTTCCTGGATTATTAGGAAATACTAGCATTCGTGTCCAGAGTTTATATAAAGATTTAGTGGAAATTTGATATATTATTATACATTTTTGTAGCTATGCTAGTGGCAAATAGAGACACTGATATCTTTTCAATTATCTGTATAAATGTCTAAACTTAAATCTAAACCTTTATGTAACATTACTGATGTTATGCAATGTGTGTGTGTGTGTGTGTTATATACAAAAAATTTCTTTTTAATATAATATAATATAATATAATATAATATAATATAATATAATATAATATAATATAATATAATATATTTCTATTTGAGAATATCAACAAAATAGACATTAAAATGTTCATTTCTGTTTATATATCTGTACTGTATAATTAGTAAAAATTAAGTACTTTATGGAAATATATATATTAGTACATTAGTCAATATATTTACAGTTTTAGTGACTTAAATATTAATTTCTGTTTAAATGTCTGTAAATATATTCAATCAAATTAAATACTTCATCAAACAAATTATTAGATGCTGTATACCTTACATAAACTTATATTTACACACACTCAAACAAATTATTAGATGCTGTATACCTTACATAAACTTACACACTTCAGTACTGCTGGTGTGCTAGTAACCAGTTTATATGCTGGACTCTAGTGGTGTTGTGCTGGTGGTTTAACTAGCAAGACCAGCTTGGTCAATCAGAATGGCTGGTTTACCAACAACAGGACAAACACCAGGTCAGCACTAACCAGTCTGAACGAGCAAGAAATTCTAATTTTCCATCAGGCACAATCCCAGAACATCTTCCTCCATTTCTAGCAGTGCAGCAGATCTCCGGACCTCGTGACTAAACGCAACGCTCGCGCATCCCGCTTTAAATGAGGAAATATGGACACTGACACATTTGGATGTTGAAATTGAAGGACATTACGACCTTGGCCTTCAGGAGATAAGTGTCAGCAGGAATGTAGGCCATATGCACGTTTTTACTTGCGAACACGTGTATGGATCATGAGTGAACTTGAACGTGAAATCCTAAAACACGATATCAACAAACTGAGTCAGTACATTTTTATGACCATCATAACCAGTCTGAGATAAAAAAAAAAATTAAAAATTAAAAAAAAGAATTTCTTATTATAAGTAAACAAGCATCAAAGGATATTACCTTAATAACCCAGTTGGGAAAAAATTATTTAGAGAGTTTTGGAGCAATCTTAGTTTTTTTTGTTTTGTTTTTTCTTTTCTTTTCTTTTAGCCGTTGTTTTTGATTGTTTGTTTTAAATTATTCTTACATTTTAAATTAATTACATTTTTATTGGCTGGGAATACATCGAAATATATAGTATTTATTTACAGCATATTGACTGCATAATAGCAACAAAATAGCAACAAAATAGCCTAAATATTTAAACAATATTAATTTATATTTAAATGTCTGTACATGTATTCACTAAATAATACATTATTATTAAAACAAATATTAGAGTTATGCTATACATTTTATGGAAATAACAACAAAGTAGATATTAAAATAATTTTTTTTTTTATATTTTAACAATATATTCACTAAAATTACATTAAATTAATTTTAACTTTATTTTCTATTTAACTGCCAGTCTGTGTGTATGTGAAACTGTAGAATATTTTCTAAATAAATAAATAATAATAATAAAAATACATTTTACGCGCTAGTACTCGCCAAAGCGCTAGTATAATAACAGATATACATAAAGTATATTTTCCGAATTAGCCGACAGATGAGGTTTTTGCGTGCAATTCTAGTTTTTGCTGTAATCATTTGATCATTTGCGCTCAATAATCCTGGTGCGCATTTGGAGACGCGCGCTTTACGCGCAAGGTTGACGCTTCAAAATGAGAAAAAATAAACATTTTTTTGATCGAATTATAGATCAATATCGACATACATCCATTCTGGCGATCCGCTTGCACCTTTCTTCCAAGCAAGTCACATATTCCATGATCCACAAGCCCGAGAGCTCGTTTATGCTGCGTATCTCCTTGAAAGGCAAAAATGCGTTTTCTCACCTGCTTCCAGAAGTTAATTAAAGGTGACCTTCAGCCCTTATTCTAGGCACTATCATTTAGATGGCAATTCCTTGAAGAATAATGTTTCTGCGTCAGGTGTGTGGATATATATTCCTTTTGGGAAATCTTGTGCTCAAACCTTTTAAGACCATCTTCGTGAATTCACACAAAGATCAGTGCAGCTCTGGACAC